TGTCACCCAAAAGTTTCTTGTATAGCCTGTATACTCGAATGAACGAACATAGAAATCAATCAAATGTTAGAAGCTTAAATTTGTTCACACCTATTTATTGTAAATCAGCAGGTCTTTTGACTATTTTCATTCGATCTTTTCTAAATTTTTAGTTACAACTAAAAAATTTCATAGTAAAATTAAAATGGAAAACATGTTATTTTCAAATAGATTATCGTATGTATAAATTATGAAGTTATGTTAATAGGTGGCAAAAAAAAATTGTAATGATAGAAAAATTAAATTGACAAAAGTAGAGAAAAATAAAACTATGGATCAAAAGAATTTTGCCACATCATGCAATTTTGGCTCGTTATTGTGTTACAATTTTTTTTAATTATTCACCAAATTCATCCAACAAAATTAAAGGGGGTATGAACTAAAATAAAAGGAAGAAAATTTGATAAATCGTCAGAAACAAGTAATAAAGAAAACGTGTTAATTTCGTCGAAAGGAAACGACCAAAATAAGAGAAGAAGTTAAAAACTTGCCCACGCGCAGTATAAATCATAAAATCCCATTTCGTTGAAAATAGGCCAAATCCCCTTGGACTAGAGTATGCGAAAATGAGCGCGTGTTAAATCACGCGTCAAGTAGCGCGTAAGGCGAGTGAGCGTCCGTTTCGTTTTTTAAAATCTTTTAAGGTGGGTCCACGCTAACTACGAGCTGGTCCGTTTGCATTGTTCCGGCTGTACATGCATGCCGTTTTAATTAACGGCCCAATCTAGATTAAACTTATATTAGACCCATCTAAATCAGATCATAGTTAATGTACATTCATTTCAGAGGCCCAATTTCGATTAAACTCATATTAAGCCCATATAATAAACATTGTGCGTCTTGCGCTCAAGAAACTGCATCTCTATAATATTAAAAAAAAAAGTACATTTAGAAAAATATCCAAAATTGATTCAAATATTACTGAAATTGCCATTACCTTATAACTAAATTGATTCAATTGAAAAATGTAATTTTGAATAGATGCAATGGCAATTTCAGTAATTTTCAGAACAATTTCGGTCATTTTTTAACTGGATCCGACTAACACGCGGATCCTCTGTGTGAGAGTATAGGATATGAGTTCTTGCATTTTTTATCTTATTTTGAATGTTTTAGGTGTATAAAGATATTGGAGTAAGTTGGACACAAAAAGTTAGAAGGATGGATCAAATGGGCAAAAAACATGCAGAAAAAGTCCGAATCGGCTCAAAGATCATCTCTGCTGAAGGGCTTCCCGTGATCGGATTGATCTGAAATTTGGTGGAGAGATTGCAAATTGATTTATTGGACACGTATCATCAAATCGATCTGATGCTCGATCATGAGATCATCCGATTGATTTCGATTAAATTGGATCGATTGATTTCGATTAAATTGGATCGATCGATTTGATGCTCGATCTGCACCATTTTCAGTTGACTTTATGTTGATTTTGATTCTTTGACCTCTTGTTTTACCTAGATATTTTTGTTAGTATAAATATTCTCTTAAACATTGTAAAACCTAACTTTTGATCAGATTTTTTCCTCTTTTATGCTCCAAAATTTTTCCTATGATCTTGGCTTGGATTTTATTATCTTACCA